CAAAGCAGTGGTGGTGGCGGCGGCGACGACAACGGTAGCGGGAACTCCTCTTCCGGCAGCGGCGGCGAGTGCGCAATCACCCGATGCGGCCCCAAAGGCTCCTAAGTCTGCCGCCGGGCTGGGGACCCGCGAAGGTTCTGAGGCGGCGGGAGCCGCCGCCGCCGCCGCCACCGCCACCGCGGCGGCGGCGCCAATGTCCAGCGACGCCGACTACCTGGTCCGGGCCTTCGGTACCCAGCGGCAGCAGCAACGGTCCTCCACGTCCACAGCCACGCCGCAGGTAGGCCAGTGAGCCGCATGTCGCAACATCACATCGACATTAACACACACACACACACCGCGCCCTGGTCGCCGAGAACGACCCTGGATCAGGCGGAGGGGGGGAATCCTATCATATCATAAACACTGCCGGAAGGCGTCCAAAGTTCACAAAACTGCCTTGCTTGTGCTCCCTAAGCATTGGGGAGGGGGAAGGTAAAGGAAGGGGGGGAGAAGGTGTGTGTGTGTGTGTGTATGTGTGTCTCATGATGGTGACGTTGTGGTGCGCTGGGGAGGGACGGGTTCATTTGTTGGGTCGGGGGGTCGGTGTCCACCAGGCGCTCGCCAACCCGCAACTGTGCAGCTCGATATGTGACAGCCGCCTTGCCCTCCAGGGGGGAGACAGGCACGTTTCGGGATTGTTCTTTCCATCTCGGCACTGCCGATGCTAATGATGATGCAGATGGCGATCTCCACCTTTCACCTCCACTCCCACGCTGTGGTTCCTGCAGCATATAATCTGTGTTTTCCACCCTCCGAGCGCACAGAGATATGTCGGCGGCGGCATTTCTTTCCCCTGGAAACTCCCCCCTGGCGGCGGCGCAACCGCTGAAGGCTCCCGCTGACGTCTTCCGCCACCACCCCACCGATGCAGGTCCTGATTCGCGCCAGGGCCATGGCGAGCCCCTTCGCCGACGGAACCGCTACAGCCGACCGACCAGCGCGTCCTGTTGGCGTCGGCTTTGGTGGCTTTGGCCTGGCGGCAGCGGCGGCGGGAACCCCTTTCGGCGCCGCCGCCGCCGCCGCCGCCACCGCCACCGCCACCGCCGCCGCCGCCGCGCACACTGCCGCCCCCAATCCGCTCCTTGCAAACCTCCCCAGTCGTAGACCGGGTCCCCCGGCTACCACAGCCGCCGCTGGGCTCCGAAGGCACTCCTCAAACACCACGGCCACGGCGGCGGCGGCGGCGGCGGCGGCAGCTGCCGCCGCTTCTAGTGCGGCGGCACCGCCGGCAGGCGGCGGCAGTGGCGCCGCTGCTGTCGCTACTACGGTTCCGGTTTCGGAGCTCCCCATCCATGTTGAGGCCGCCGCGCGGGAGCTGCACCTCCTGTCACGTGCACCAGTCATGTCCAAGCTGCACAACATCGTGATGTCGTACTTGCGGCAGCAGCACCGCCAAGCTGTCATGCAGTCGGCAGTGCCCACCGCCATGCTGCCGCCCATCACCCTCTCCCGGCCATACGTCATGCCTCAGGTACGGCATAGCGTAGCAGTACGGCACAGTAGAGTAAATTGAACTATCGCGACCCCGGGCCCAATTCAGCCATCGTGCCCCTCTCCGTGCTAGCATCGCCACCCACACAACGGGCCGCTGAAGTTCAAGTAATAATCCGTTTCAAATCCAAACTAGAAAATAGATATCAAATCCAAATCCAAACCTAGAGATAAACCCAGAGTCAAATCCAAACCTAGAGATCATACTCAAAAAGCCAAAGATAGAACAAGATCTAAAGCCAACTGAAGGTAACCGAAGGTAGAACCAGATCCAAACTCAAAAGCTAAAGTAGACCCAGATCCAAATCCAAAGCTAAAGAAGACCCAGATCCAAATCTTAAGCTAAAGAAGACCCAGATCCACATCCAAAGCTAAAGAAGACCCAGATCCGAATCCAAACCCAACGCAGTGCGCGCCCACACCCACAGAACCGCAGTGGGTGCGCCTCTGATGTCTGTTCTGACCTGAGTTGCTCCACACCTCACACCCCACACCCCACACCCTCCGTCACAATCATTTCGGCCCTCCACTTCCCGCCGAGGTTGGAAATCATCTCGCCACTGCCCTCCCGCCCTCCCGCCCTCCCGCCCTCCCCCCCTCCCTGCCATTCCCCACCGGGGGCCCTCCAGCAACGGTTAGTTGATGCCTTGGATGCTGCCGGCAGCTGACCGAGATGGGTTTTCCTCGCACAATAACCATCATCATGTGGAGCTCTCCCCCTCCCCTCAAACCCCCTCCCCTCAACCCCCCCCGACCCCCGCTCAGGCCACTCACGCTCTGGAGGCGCCCTTCAATGTCACCCGGCGGATATGCCGGAGAGAGCTGGTGGAGGCACGGGGCGGCCGGGGGGGAGCGCGGGCGGATGCCCAGCTCATCTACAGGTGGATGGGCAGTGCGCCGGGGGGTGCGGGGCCCGGGGCTTACTTCAGTGGGGTTGTTGCTGCTGAGGAGGAGGGGGAGGAGGAGGTAGGAGGAGGAGGACAGAAACACGAAAGTGTGTGTGTTTGTATGTTATCTGGTGAAGAGCTGTGTACCACCTTCTGTAGCTCGGAAGCTTTGCAGGGTGCTCCCTGCATCCATTATGTGTGTATGTGTGTTGAAAATTCCGCCGTCGTTTTGCGGCCCACCCTCTCTCTCTCTTACCTCCCCACACGCCTCCCCACACGCCTCCCCCGCGCCTCCCCCCCACACGCACCCCGGGTAACCCGCAGCCGCTTCCGGCCGCTGCGTACCCTGCGAGATGACGGCAGCCTCAGTCTGTGCGCCACCTTCGTACACGTGAGTGGGGGGGGGGAGGGAAATGGGGGGGAGGGAGAGAAGGTAGGAAAGAGTGGAGGAGAATGGGAGGAAAAAGCACGAGGTTGCTTGCAGTCGCGGGCCGGTGGCCGGGTGGGAGATCGTGACAGGGTCGTGAAGGGGTTCAGGGTACGACACGTCGGGGGGGGGGGGGGGCGGCCAAAGCAGAACAAAACACCCACACACCCCGCCGCCTGGTGATTTCAGACAGGCGCCCCGCCGGGATGTTGGAGGGGTATAGCGGGCGGGGTTTTAGGGTTGAATCCCCGCTG